AGCTTCACATGTGCAACAGCACCCACCACAGTGCTCATAACTGTGAGCAGGTGGAGGAGGCTGGCTCTTGGATAATGCATCCATGTAGAAGGCCTGGTGAGGTCACAGGGCCACAAGGTACACGGGCCAGAGTCAAGGAGATGCTAGAGAAGGGAGACTTGGCTAGATTTTAGGAACCACACATCTACCATATCTCAGCCCGGAACACTAGCTGCCCACGTAAGACTCATTCTGGTGTCTCTCTGCAGACACGTAGCCCCCTCAACCTGCAAGGCCTTTTCTCGTTTGGTTGTTTTAAGGCCCTTATTTGTGCCAAATGCTGGAGATATGGTGACCCAGTCAGTGATGTCTGACTTATGGGTGTGGTGGCCTGCCTTCAGGCGTGGTTTTTGAAAAACCATGTATATTTAGGGAAAAATTGGAAGATTCACACAGGTTGGGTGGAAGGAGGCCTGTGCTGTGTGGCTGGTAGGAATCAGAACTGAAACAGAGGGTCATTGGGAAGGTTTGTAGTGGGTGGCTACAGAGTCAGAGTTGAGAAACCTGCGTTTGGGAGCCAGGAATTCATCTCAGTAAAAGCCACCAGAGACTTGAAGAGTTTGTGCTGAAGGTCACCATGAAAGGGAAAAAAAAAAAAGGAACAAGGAAACCTGGGTTACCTGCTTCACCAGCCCATGTAGGAGCCAAACGCCTGGGGAGTAGTGGTTGGGACAGTGGCAGGTGAATTTGGAGTATTCAAGAAACTAGTTCTGGGATGCCTTGACACCTGGGCATCATTCACCAGTAGTGACACTGGGAGGATGCTAGCTCTGAGCTTGCAGGGCTGTAACCTGGGGTTAGTCTTTAAGGACCTGTTTCCTCCCCAGAAGATTGTCTGCTGGGACAAGAGGAGCACAGATCTTTCATCTGAGGACAGCTGTGAGCCTCTAGTTGCCGCTTCATGTCAGATGTGCACTGTGGCAGCAGGAGGGACTGGTACTCCATTCACTCAGATGCATGTGTAGTCTGAATTCGACAAACCAGAGAAATGGCTTTCCTGAGGTACTCTGTCATTTTTTGGAGGAAATAAAGGTTTATTCCCTGCATCCCTTTCAGGTACGCTCCGGAATGTTTAATCCAGTGTAAATTTTACATCGCCTCTGACGTCTGGTCCTTTGGAGTGACACTGCACGAGCTGCTGACTTACTGCGACTCAGACTTCAGTCCTATGGCCGTAAGTGCCAACTGCCACCTCACCCGAGGCCAGCACCCAATGGAAAAAGCACCTGTTCTTAAGTTTTGCTCTTAAATGGAGTCCATCAGTGTGCCACACAAAGAGGGTTATTATGGCCATGTTCTTTTTAGCCTGGCTTGTCATGGTCAGTAAGAGTTTACCTTCACAAGTCCAGAATCTCTTAAGATGATCCAGATCTTTAGGGTGAGGGCCACCTTGAGTGAATGAATGCTTTGAACATTGGGTAGAGCTTTGTTTTCACTTAACTGTAGCTGTGATTGCTCCCCACAGATGTCGATCATACTGATCCTCAAGAGCAAATGAGGATTTTAGATATTCATTTGAAGTTTTTGAGGAGAGAAGCTTTGTGGCTTTAATTTCTAGTTAGGCTGGGATCTTCACTTTATTTTGTTTGGTTTTATTTTACATAGTTGTTCCTGAAAATGATAGGCCCAACTCACGGTCAGATGACAGTAACACGGCTTGTGAATACTCTGAAAGAAGGAAAGCGCCTGCCATGTCCACCCAACTGTCCAGACGAGGTACCTATGTCCCCTTCATGGGAAAGAAACTTGCTTTGTAATGTTTTACAGCTTGACTTAGCCAGCAGGAATGGGGGAGGGGATAGGATAGGGAGAAGACCCATAACCTGCACTGGGGAATTGGTTCTTGGTTATTGAGTACTTGCTGCTCTTTCAGAGGACTGTTTCCATCATCCACATAAGATATGAGAGAAATCTCTCTTGGGGTAGGCAATAGTGATGCTCAAGCAAGGCTCCCCTCATGGAGCTGTCCCCTCCGTCCACCTTACTTGTGTAAATACATCTCACTAGGATTGAGCCTTTCAGCCCTAGGCTCTCTAGGTGGTCAGAGTGAGGTGCTATGGTGGTGAAAGGGTTATATAGCTTATCATTTTCTGTACTTAATATGACTACAGAATGGAATATTTGGATAATTTTAAGTTTGAAACCGCCTTTCCTTGTTTTCAAATATGTGGGTGCATATAGATGCTAGAGACTGATGCCATGTCCTCTTGATCTGGTTTTTGTTTACTGAGGCAGGGTCTCCTTGAAGCTAGCTCTCCTGATTCTGCTCTCTAAATGTGTGTGTTGTGGCTCTGAACTTTGGTTTCAAGTACTTCATCCACTGAGCCATCTCTCCAGCATCTCTTTTTGTAAATCTCACAAATCTGACATTATTTGTACTGTTTTTGCTTTTATTTTTCATAGGTTTATCAGCTTATGAGAAAATGCTGGGAATTCCAGCCATCCAATCGGACAACCTTTCAGAGCCTGATCGAAGGATTTGAAGCACTTTTAAAATAAGAAGCATGAGTAACATTTAAATTCCCATTTATCAAGTCCTTCTCTCCCAAGCCATTAAAAAACTTTTTTTTAAAATGAAAGTTTATATTCTGCCGAGAAAGCCACTCAACAAATATCTGAGTACATGCATATGTCACAGCTTAAATTTAGTGAAAAGTAATGACAACCCAACTAGAATGTGCCTAAGCACTCCTTTTGGAAAGATTAGATGATCAGTTGCATAGCAAAGGACTTTTGGCGCTGTTTTGCTGGCATATTGATCTTAGATAAAAATTGGTGGACTTGGCTGAAAATTTCCCTTGCCCTGAAATCTCAGTATCTACACAGTGATAGTCCAATTGAGTAAGTACCACTTAATAAGTCTATTCCTGCTCTCCAATAGGACTGCAATTTCAAGCTGTTTGTGCAGTGGCCCAGCTGCTGTTCTCTTGGCTAAGCACTGGTACCCATTGTGGGGAGAACCTGGCATACATTCTGCATGTTATTCTTCAACTAGGCTTGTGCTCTTCTGCACAGCCTGCTTTCCTCTGACCCAGATGCTATGACACCTGCCTTTAAGAAATGTCAGTGCATACCCCTTCATAACTATCCCTGTACCACAAACAGAAGACAATACCATCTACAAAGGCTAATTAATCACTGTTCGACCATCACCCCATACTGCAAAACTACCAAGAGAAGACTCAGCCTGGGGAACAACAGACTGGAGTTCAGAATTCACTAGGCAGTTCTCAGTTTGCTTGGAGATAGGTAGGTAATCAAACAATGTTCAGTTTCTGATTCAATGTGAAACCATGAAGTTCTTCATGACCAAGAGTCTGGCAAACTTATTAATGCTGTTTAATACTTGTTTGATATTTTTTCACCTTTTGAGCCCCCCCCCCAGGATTCAAGATCTCTTTAGAAGCAACAGTACAGTTGCCATTTAAATTTATTTAGTTGCTGTCCATGTCAAACCTGTGGCCCGCTCTATATGCACTTTGTTTACTCTTTATACAAATAAACATACTAAAGACTTCACATGCATATGCCGTTTAATTTTTAAGTCTGCAATTTGAAAGCATTTCAAACCATTAGCTTAACATAGAAAAATAACAGCATAGACTTTGGGGGTTGGTTGTAATGACCTTGTACTAACATCATTTGGGTTGCACATCTCTTCTGTCAGGGATAATGTGCTGTGATGCAGAGCATCTTTCAGTTCTCAGTTGTTTCCTCACCTTACAGCTCCACTGTAGCAGCTGCTAATCCTTCCTGTACTCTAAATGCGGCAGCAAAAGGAAGGGGCTGTGCAGGCTTGGAGAAGCCATTAGTCTGCTGTATGCCTCTTCCTGGGCAGCCATAGGTAGTCTGCTTAGGATTGTCTTAACTTCTTAGCTGTCATTTTTCAATGAAAGCTGGTATATGCAATAAATTAGACCAAGTAAAATTTTTATAAAGCATATAACATGTACCAGTTTTAGACTTAATAATTAATGCTGGAGATCTATATCATAGTCAAAAATGATAAATCCCAAGTAAAATATTTTAATGACCTGATCCTATATAGTAGGATCATTGAAATCCCAAACTCCATCAGCTGTAGTCTCTTAACGAACAAACTTCTAGATGGAAAGAGGTTTCTAATTTATACCAAGATCTTCAGGAAATGGTGAGATCCAAAGTCACATTAATAAAGACAAACACTCTTTCTGAAGTAACCTGGATTAAATAGATGTATCTTTCAGCTTCACTACCAGAGAATGAATAATAAACCAGTGAGGTAGAGCTTTATCAGCTCAGAATTGTCCCACACACTGTCCCACAGAGCCCCTTAGAAACGTCAGTGGGAGCTGTGTTGCCGAGTCTCAGCCTTGTCTTCTCTCCTGTATGCTATGAAATGGCACACAAACCTTGGCTCCTTGCCATGTGCCATAAGATAAAAGCAATAGGGAGACAAGCCGCAAACCTATGTATGCAGGATGGGAGAGTAATGTCCCAGGCTTTGCAGGCTCTGTGCTTCTCTGGAGGCTACTCAGTTCCCGCTGTGATAAAAAAGTACACAGTGTGTAAATGAGTGAGCTTCACTGTGTTCCAAATAAAGTTGTGGGGACATTAAAATTGCAGTTTCTTGTTTCTCTACCCCAGACATTTCGAAATGCAGTCACTGATTCATGGGCAGCATGGACTACACATGGCCCTGGTGTGTACTTCACTAACCTTGTAGTACTGTTTTCCACAAAAGGTGTAAGTGGTAAACGACACCTTGGAAGTCAAGCATCTGAAGTGACGTCACTCTGCCACTGGGTTGGTATTTTGTGACTGGTGTCGAGCTAATGGGGTTTGCATGACAAGCATCTGTCTGGCCGTACCAGCACCCTTGCAGTTTGAGGAAAGGTCCTTCAAGACTGTGGATGAGATTGTTCTTAGGGAGAGTAAGGTAAATAAATGCACATTGGCTTTTAAGAAATTCATTCTAAGGCTAAGGAAACAAAACACTGTTTCCCATTTATTGCTTCAGACTTTGATGTCAAAATTGTTCCCAGGCCCAAAACAAGGACTATTGGAATGCTGATTCTCCAGTGAGCTGAGCTGTTGTCACAGGGATTAAGACACATCTAATGCTAGTGGAAAATGCCCTCCGACCAGTGACGTTTCTTATTGCTAGTTGCGTATTTGGCTGATCTGCCTGCTGCATGACAGTTCATTCTGGGAAGTCAGAAACCCGTATCGAAAGGATATGGCTAGTGTGAATGAAGTTAAGGCAGCGATGAGCAGCAGACACTGCAGAGGACCGCAGCAGTGGGCAGGAGACACGGAGCTCAGTACACACGCTTCTTTTTCAAGTAGGTTTCTGTGTAGCTCACTCCTGTGTCCTGAGGGTGCTGGCCAGCGAGTTCTACTGGACCTCCTTCTGGGACAGAGATGAGATAGGAGGAGCCTCGCTTCTCATTTCTCAAAGAAGATACCTGTGAGAAAGTAAGAATGTAAGGAAAGCATTCTGAGTTGGCGTCACTATAGATCAGAATACCAAAACTCAAGAAATACAAAAACACCTTTGATACAGGAAATCAGACTTTCAAATCTTTATAGAAATCACCTGCAGAGAGCTGGGGGCATTGTTCAGTTGAAGAACAGAAACCTAACATGCAAGAGACCATGTTCCATTCTGGCACCACAATCTGCCATATCTAGGGCCTTTACAAACTACAAGCAGACCTCTGAGTCCTCACCTCAGTCAGGGGACGTGGGAGAAGGAAAATGGCCCTGCTCACACCTGAGTCCGAAGAGCAACATCAAGTGTCAGGGTTCCTGATGGAGGTCAAAAATGGACCTGTGGGAGGAATCCGCAAGTCTGCCTAGCAACTGGGAAGGAGAACTGGCTGAGTGATGTCAGGGGAAATGATGGCAATGAGATCTCAAAACTTTGGTGCCCCAAGTAATCGGATTTCTAAGATCCCTTCCAGAGACTCTGGTCCAGAAAGGGCCTAATGTTTCCCATCAGAGGCGTCGTAATCGGTACAGTGAGATTGTATAGCACAGCCTGTGACCTTTCCCTACACATAAAGTGTGAGATGCTTGCTGAGGCAGGTACACAGCGTGAGAACAGCCGATGAGGAAGTGGGCAGCTCTCTAACTCAGGAGACTTCGCATATGCTGTGTCTTGGAATCTTAGAAGAGAGGCTGCTTCACAGGAACCGGCTCTATTCCTTATCGTTCTGTCAAGAAAAGGCGTGAGAGCTCACGAGCCGCTCAGTGGCACAGCAGTTGTCTTGGGTTTGATCTTGAATGACAGAATACTGAAAAGCCGGGCTCCCTCTGTTGGTACTTACTCTTACAACCTCGGTCTAAGGGAGTATTCACAGAGTCAAATGCTGATTTGCATTTGCTTGGAAGTAATGGGGTGTGTGTGGCAGGGAGGAACACAGGTGAAACCAGACTGGTCTACACATGTTGACAGCTGGCAATGCATGCAGCTCTGCCCTGGCTGTCTGCCATTGAGCCTCAGCATCTTCCAATACCTTTGTCCAAAGATGCTTGCTGGACCTTAGCCACTAACACAGTTAACCCTTCAGGTAGAATCAACCTGAAAAAAAATCAATCTTTTTCCTCCTCCAAACCACCAACCCATTCTATAAGATTTCCCTAACGATACGGGGCAAGACACTCTCTCACAGTGGGCACAACTCTGCTGCTCCTCCCTCTCTCCACGCTGCATGGTATCCCGTATGTCATCCTTTCCAGAAAGCAAGGGCCTCAAGTATCCCCTTCCAGATCATCTTACTCTCCCAAACCAGCTAGACTAGAATAGTTCTGTATCATCGGACAATCAACAGAGATCAAAGAGATGAGCACGAATGTAAGAATGGGAAGTGACCTCCATAGCAGTGTGAGAAGGACCATTCTGTACAGTACATCAAAGATGGCTAGCTTTGTAAGGACTGCTGAAATGGGGAATAACAGCTGAGGTTTTTGAAGCAAAGCTCAGTATTCTGGGAAAAACTCAACTAAAAATGAGTAAGAAAAATAAAATAGCCACAAAGAGGGAAAGTGTATGAAGCAACTTTGTGTTGTCTGTCCCCAGCATTCACGCCTCCATTCCTTAACCACACCCTTCACTCCGAGGACCTGGGCCCTGGGCTTTACCTACACTTCACTCTCCCCGAGCAGACTCTGGAGAGGGGCCAGTGGGATGGCCCAATGGAAAAAGACACTTGCCATCAAGACTCATGATATCTTAAAAAAAAAAATGTCAAATGCACTTGAAACAGCTCAGTCTGGTCCAGCGACGCTGCACAAGCTGCAGCCTTGAGAGCCAGTAGCTCACCCTGAAGACGCAGCACACCCAGGCACTTTCTACACATTAGCTCATTAGGGTTAGAACAGCATCCCGGGGCAGCAGGGAATTTATGATGTAACCTGCTACTGACGGGTGTGCTGTTGATACCTTCAATCCCACCACTCAGGAGGCAGAGGCAGGAGGATGTCTGAATTTATGGCTAGCCAGAGCTACAGGGTAAGATCTTGTGTCAACAAACCAAACCATTGTGGGCTGGAAAGATGGTTCCATGGTAAGGGCATTTACCGCTGTTGCAGAGGACAGGGTTCAGCTCCCAGAACCACACTAGTGAGCTCACAAACCATCAGAGACCAGTTCCAAGGGATCGGATACCCTCTTCTGGGCTCCAAGGCTCCTGTATCCATTTGGTATATATAAAGACAAGTAACCCCCCCCCACACACACACATATGCACGCGCGCACACACACATACACGTACAACCTTCTACTTTGGTGAAATTACACTAGGATGTATACATTCCCTATCAAGATGCCCCACAACGCTTTAAGCACCCAGTCTCACCTTCTCGAAAGAATCATTGCCCATCAGTGTGGATACTTTCAAGAAGATATTCACCTTCAGCATGGCCCTCCCCTCTTGTTCTCTCATGTTGCTTCCCAGGACTCTGATCTTTGGAATTACAATGCTGAGACTTTCAGAGCACTGTGGTTATGACTTCATGGAGGTCCCCTAGGGCTTGGGTAGTCCCGGGTGGAATTACTCGCCACCCCCCCACCTCCCATGGGGGAACCCACCATCTTCACTCTTAGATAGTTCATCTATTTCACCAAGACAATGAGCAATCCAGAGTGATGACGGCTGGGCTCTTCCTTTCCCCTCACTCCTTGTTGATCTCAACCAACCACACATTTGTAACGACACCAATCTGGCACTTCCCCCAGTGTCCTCCTCCCACCACGACCAGACTTGCATGATGACCAACCAGTAGCAATATTATCCCGGACCATTCATGCAAACCAACCCTCCTCCCAGCCCTCTGGAGCCATTCCACCCACAGTCCTACCCATCTCAGCCAGTGACAGTTCTAGTTTTCCAGGTCGCAAAGCTTGGGCCATCCAGACTACCCTCAGCATCCCGTTTCCTCAACCTCCCCAAACTGCTTTGCTCCCAGTCAGCCACTGTGCTCTGAGAGCCATCCAGCAGCGTTTCTATTTGCACTGCACTGCACTGCCTCCTCGCTGACCTTGCTATGTTCTGCAGTTGCAGCTTAGAATACAGCTCTAAGTAAATACATGGGTATAGTAAGGTCCTAACCTGTCTGTCCTGTCCTCACCCACTGTGACTTCATTTTCCATGTTGCTCAGGCCTCTCCTGTCTGGGCACTCTCCCTCTCTCTCGTTCCTTTAACATGGCAAGCATATTTGCCTCGCACATCTCTGCATTTGCTAGTCCTACTTTGGAGACTTTGTATGACATGCAGGCATCCGTGTGACACACTGTCTACAAACTTCTCATCTTTGCCCCAAAGTTCACCTGCCAAAAGTCATTGTGCCACATTTTTAAAATCACTGGACAAGTCTCAGAGCCCACAAGCTGTAAGTTATGCACCTTAAGTTCATTTAATTGTACAAATGAATGAGTTGTCTCTGAAAGGTCTATCCATATGGGTCTGCAGATGGTGGTGGTGTCATGGGCTATACAGTGTGATAGGCCTTTGCATAATTTGGCCACTAGGTGGCAGCGTTATGCTCTCTAAGGCGAGACCCAGCCTCTTCCAAGCCTTTGTTTATTCTTGGGTTTGTGCCACGCCAACTCATCATACATTCTGTGGCTGATTCCCTAGGCTGGGCAGCCAGCTTCACGGCAGCAAAGATCCCTGTAGCTAGGGAAACCCAAGACTACAGCTCGCAGTGCAGAGGACTCTTGCCAGCAAGCCAAGTGTGGAAAGAAAAACCCACATCACTGAAAACAGTGAAGGAATTCCTAAATTATCCTTCGTATTACTAAAACTAGGGACTACGTCATGCTGAAAAGTCACAGATACGTGTTGGCCTGTTTTTTCTACTTGAGTACAAGGGAGCAGGAAGGAATATTCTGTTTGTTGTTTTTCAGATTATAATTAGAGGTTATACTGAAGTATTAAATATTTAATAAGCTGGCTCAGTCTCCTGTAACAGGGGCTCTAACAGCCATCTGATGCAGACAGACCTGTTCATTTTTACCTCAGAATCTGAAATTTCAAGCTGTATATACCTAAATTAAGAAGATACTTCAGATGATAATGCCATTAGATTCTAAATTAACATTCATTTTTCATGGTCTGCTTCAAAAACCTCCAAAATACTAAGTAAATATGCATCCCCTAGTTAGTCTAGTAAATATGCATCCCCTAGTTAGTCTAGTAAATATGCATCCCCTAGTTAGTCTAGTAAATATGCATCCCCTAGTTAGTCTAGTAAATATGCATCCCCTAGTTAGTCTAGTAAATATGCATCCTCTATTTAGTACACTTAAGCTTTGTTTCTAAAACACCAGGGTCCACGGACTGGCAGGACGGCTCAACAGTCAGGAGTGCATATTGCTCTTCAGAGCACCTAAGTTCAGTTCCCAGCACCCACCCTGGACAGCTCCCCTTGCCCAGAACTCCAGCTCCGGGAGATCCGACACACCCTTTTGGCCTCTGCAGGCACCCGCTCCCATGCATACAATTTCAAATAGACATCTAAACGTATGTCCATAGTCCAGTATTCTCTATGCACAGAGCTGGACTAACTGAGTCTGACTCTAGAGCGCCCTCTCACAGCCAGCAACAACCCCACTGGTTCTTCCTCTGCACTCCCCAAACATTAATCTACTGACTTTTTGTACAGATTACTTATTCGGGACATTTCACACAAACCCTCATAAACAAGCCCTCCGCAACTAACTTCTCTGCACGCTTTCAAGGTCCATCCATTGAACAATATTCTACTGTTCATCTGCTGGCTAACTGGTGGACAATTGGGCTTTTCCCTTTTGGCTGTTAGCAGATAATCTGCCATGAACACCAGTGCACACACTGGTGTGGACACATTCAAATTCTCTTGAGCATATATATCCCGAGTGAAACTATTGGTCAGAGAGCAACTCGGGATTTCTGAGCCATGCTAATTTTTCCTGACGCTTCAGCGTGCCCTTGCCCACACAGCTAAGGTTCTTTTTCCTTCCCTTTGTTGGCTGGGATCATCTCAAGTGACCTGCACGCCATCCTTGTCACTCTTCTCCCTGTTGACATCGACTGCTGTCCCCTGACCAAGTTTTTACTTTGCTTTATTATAATTTTCAAACTGAACATTTCCATCTGACTGTTTTTATCCTCTCTGAGGACACCATGTTTGGAGCAACATGGCTCCCACACGACCTAAGGTCTTTCTTTACGTGTGATTCACTTTAGCTCTTCGGGATTGTTTTATACCATTGCCTCCTAAGTCCAACATCAAAGATACTTTATGAGCATTCTTCTGTATTGCCTGCTTTTCCTGTACAGGTGTTTTAGTCAATGTTCCATACTGTGAAGAGACACCATGACCACAGCAACTCTTATAAAGGAAAACATTTACCTGGGGCTAGCTTACAGTCTTCGTGGCTTAGTCCATTATTGTCATGGTGGGAAGCAGGGCGGCAGGCAGGCAGGCATGGTGCTGGAAAAGGAGCTGAGAGTTCTACATCTGGATCAGCAGACAGCAGAAGAGGGAGACACCGGGCCTGGCTTGAGCTTAGAAAACCCTAACGCTCACCCCCAGTGGCACACTTCCTCCAACAAGGCCACACCTCCTAATCCCCATCAAGTAGTGTGCTTCCTAAAGACAAAGCATTTAAATCTATGATTTCTTTACATTTCTATTGATTTTTGTTGTTGTTGAAATGAAGATCATTTGAAATAAAACAATACGACCGCAATGAGTCTATAAGCCCCTTGTTTGTTTTTATTAGCTTGAACTTGTGAAAAGTCCAAACTCGTTAGGCATGGCTGTTACAAACTGTACTCTGTTAGCTCACGTGGTCAGTTAATGTCTAGACAGAGTTCCTTCAACACCTACATCTTCTTTCTAAAGTTTAATTAAAATTTTTTCATACAATATACTTTGAACAAATGTTTTTAGAATTTATCAGATTAAACTACTGACATATTTCCACAGTTCTTTGAGCAGTCTGCTAACGCTACCCGATGGATGGCAATGCACATTCAAGTAAACCGCAATGCCGTCATCACCACACAGCTCAGGGGTCAGCCAAGTGCGTTTGGGCCCCCTTTCCATGAGGACTTCGGGCTGTGCTCATGGGTGCTCCTACCCATGCGCTGCCCTGTTCCAGGCCCTCTCACTCTACAACTTACCCAACAGTCCTAAGGCTTACTCTGTAACTCTGCAGGCCAGTGAGACTGCAGAGTTTGCACAGAAAAAGAAGTCAAGCAAAGAGTCACAGAAACATGGCTGTCATCAAGGGAATTCCCCTCTCTCAGGACCCGACTTCCCTTCAGTTTCTACCAGTTATTCTCCAATACTTCCAACAAAGGCTACTTTGTTCAAATCTACTCCAGACTTTTGTTTTGTTTTTTTGAGAAGGGCTTCTCTGTGTAACAGCCCTATCTGTCCCAGAACTTGCTTTGTAAACCAGGCTGGCATTGAACTCACCTGCCCAGATCTTCCCAGTGTGTACTCCAGATTTTATCAGGGGTTTATGACAATAATTTCATATACACCAAATATTAAATTCTTAAACGCGATAGCTTTACTTAAAGGAGAAATTATTTTATCTAGTATCTGACACAACCATCTCTCCCAGTCCTTATGTATAAAAACCTAAACAGTTTCTGGGAGCTGCTAGAGCAACACGGACTTTGCAGTCTGAGAAATCCTTTGCAAACTGCAGAAATACAAAGCGGTAATTAAGCCTTTGTGTTCTTCCACGTGCAAAAGGCCGGGGGTCGTTTAAAACTCACAGGCATGGGAGAAAGATGAAATAATAGTCTAATATATATAAGTGTAATCCCACCACTATTTTTAAAAGATGTTTAAAAACTGAGTTGGGATATAGCTCAAGAATAGTGTGCTTGCCTAATATGCACAGAACCTTTGGCTCACTCCCTCATCCATGCTGGTGATAATGATAAATGCTCACCACTGTGTCCTGGCTAGCTTGGGGTCAGGGTGGCTAGTTTGCTTGGTTTTTTGAGACAGAGGTTCTCTGTGTAGTCTTGGCTGCCCTGGAACTAGATCTGGCTGGTCGAGAACACGTAGAGATCCGCCTGCCTCTGCCTCCCAAGTACTAGGATTAAAGGTGTGCGCCACCAACTGCCCAGCCTAGTTAGTTTTTATTGTCAATTTGACAAAAACCTAGAGTCACTTGGGGAGAAGGAACCTCAACTGAAGAACTACCTAGGTCAGATTGGCCGGTGGCCAAGTTTGTAAGAGACTGTCTTTACTAATAATTAATTTGGGAGGGTCCAATATACTGTGGACAGCACTATCCCTAAGCAGGTGGGTCTGAGCTATAGAAAACACCTAGCTGAGCTACCCAAAGAGTGAACAGCATTCCTCCCCGCTTCCCACTCCCGGGTTCCTCCGTCCTGACTTCCCTCCAGGCTTTCTGATCCCAGGTCCCTTTCTTTCAAGTCACTTTTGGTCTTGGTGATTATCGCAGTGACAGGAAAGGAGACTAGGACACGTTGCAAAGGAAGTGACAAGTGTTCAAAGCATGGAGATGCAAGGCTCACCTCAGAGCCTCTCCACAAAAGAGTAACCGACTCTGTACAGACCCCACACAGCACATATTGGCTTCACCGCCACCATCTAAGAACCAAGTTAGCAGAGTTGAAGATGAATTTCAAGTGTCACACTCAAATGAAAAGCTCAGTACAGACCAGTGGGAACTTCCTTTGATGCTTAAAATGCATACCTTTGCTAGATTCTTAATAATGTATTGTTTCTTCTGCTTTGAAAAGTACACCTTGTTCTCCTATACAAACCACATTTTGTGACTATTAATGACAATTTTAGGATATGTTTACACATTATTTTACACCATCTTAAATTTCCGAATTATATTTATGGTAAAAACATAATTTGCTTACTCAGTCTTAGCTGAATATTTTGGTTGTTTCTAATCTTCACATCTGTATATTCATAATAACTTTATCTCCAATAATTTAACTTTTGCCCCTTACGTATAATCAATATCCAGTGTGCTTATCTGCGTCATTACTGTATCCATGAACAAAGATAAGAACCTTAGGAAGTGAGAATGTCTTCCTCATGACATCAGCTCTGACCCTGTTTTTTTTTTTTTTAAGTTAAGCAGGCCACTACCTCATCATATTAATTTATCTTTAGGACATAATTTAGAATCATACTCCACGTTCATAGGTTCTGTAACCATTCATTTAACCAACTGTATGTTGGAAATATTTGAAAAACTGTACCCGCACCAAAACCGTGCTGCTTTTTCTGTTATTATTCCCTAAGCAACACAGTGTATTTGCATCTCATTTCCAACACATTAACTATCATATGTGATCTACAGAGTTCCAATGCGTGAAGGAGATTTGCCCAGAAAGACTGCATACGTGACACCGTACAGATATGAACTTAGCATCCACAGGTGGGGTATCCACAGGAGCCCTGGAACAAACCTAAAGATCCTGTGGCTTTGGCATACAGCTGGGTGCGGTGGTACCCACAGATAAGGCCAGAACTCCAGAGGCTGAGCATTGAGTTAAGGTCAGCCCGGGCTGCCAAACATTTCCTCCACCTCAGCAATGATGAAGGATGAAGGCTGAAGGCTGCTTTCTCCCCTTTGGGTTCTTAAGGTTTATACTCTTGTAAAACAGAGGTCAGCAGAATTTTCAGGAGAGAGTCAGGTAGCATAAATATTTAACCTTGTAAGCCGTGCAAGTCTGTTCCATTGGGTACGGCTGCACCATAGGAAATTTGTCAATGAATGGATGTGGCTACGTCCACCGAAAAACAGGTGACAGGCTGGGTGTGGCATAAGGGCTGTAGTTTCAAGACTAAAACCATAAGAGGTAAATATTTGGTTTAAAATATGTTAAATAGTTTCTTGAACTATTCCCAAATTTTAAGTGATGGGAAAGAGATAACTATCCCGTGTTCTCATAGTGCTAGAGTAGACCTATTCCCACACTCAGTGGTGTCAGGTTTCTCTCCCTATCATCATGTCCTGCGCGTCCTTTACCTGGGCATAATCCTCGAAAGGTGGCGAGTAAGTGATGCATTTCTCCAGGACACGCTGGGACTCGCTTCCCTGAGAGATTGCATCCAGAATGTTGCTTGCGATTCCAGTCTTGTGTGGCGTGCCTTTACTTGCAGTGGCTAAAGACAAAAGCAAGACCAAACAGCGTAAAACACATTACAAACAGCATAAAACATATTAACACAGCCTGTTTCAGATAGGTTACTAATGTATATTTATATTTATTTTCTCCAGGAGGAATTAACACTGTGTCATCTACTTTAGTAACTAAAAATGGAAGCTTGCCATATAGGCAAAATAATAAATTTTTTTCTGTTCTTTTTCTGTACTGGGAATCAAAGCTTCAGGGATGTTAGGCAAGCACTCTACCACTGAGCTCTACACCCGACCCTCAGACAGATACTCTACATCAGTAGCTCTCAGCCTTCCGAATGCTGTGACCCTTTAATACAGTTCCTCACGTTGTGGTGACCCCACACCGTAAAATTAATTCATTGCTACTTCATAACTTTTTTTTTGCTGCTGTTATGAATCATAATGTAAACATCTGATATATAACCACAAAGTTGTTGTGACCCACAAGTTAAAAACCGCTGTTCTACACCAATGCATACGAAATGCAAATTAAACACCCTTATTAAGGCAAAAGTTGTCTTTGTTGATTTTACGTTAGAAGAGTGTGCTGCAGAGAGATACATTAGAACACTTTCCTAGATTCAGAAAAATGATAATTAATGCTCAAGAGGATACTTTGTAAAATGCCAAAAATGTATATTAAATCCTTTCCTTGCAGTTTCCACTTTCCTAGCTACACTCTGCATTTGCACAAGCACGTGCCTGTTAGAGCACAGTTTACACTTTCCTAGCTACACTCTGCATTTGCACAAGCGCGTGCCTGTTAGAGCAGTTTACACTTTCCTAGCTACACTCTGCATTTGCACAAGCGCGTGCCTGTTAGAGCACAGTTTACACTTTCCGAGTTACACTCTGCATTTGCACAAGCACGTGCCTGTTAGAGCAGTTTACACTTTCCTAGCTACACTCTGCATTTGCACAAGCACGTGCCTGTTAGAGCACAGTTTACACTTTCCTAGTTACAGTCTGCATTTGCACAAGCACGTGCCTGTTAGAGCACAGTTTACACTTTCCTCAGTTACATTCTGCATTTGCACAAGCGTGTGCCTGTTAGAGCACAGGTTTGGCAGCAGGACTGCAATCGTGCAGGGCTCACTCTCCCTTTTTCCATTTAAAATCATCTTTAGAGACGACCTCCTACAAGAGCGATGTAGACAGCTTCTGATTAGTGCTATTACTGGTTTTTAAAAGTCACAGGGTTCCTTCTGTGTACCCAGCCTCTTCCCTCCCGGACGACATGAATGTGTTCTTTGGTTTCCCAAGGCTGACTTTTGTAGCACTGTGTTTGAGTAAGGGCTGCTCCACGCTAGGGAAGGCCTGGTACTCCGTTTCTGCTGAGCGGCAGTCACATCTAGGGCACATGGATGCACTGCTAGGCCATTCAGAGGCTGCAAGCTCTGGTTTAGACCCATGATTCTACCCACACGGCAAATGACTGCGGGGCTTCAAACAACCCACCGCCGTCATTATCTTCAATAATGGCGCAGTAAAAATGGAATAGGATTATTTTGCCTAAATAAAAATACTGTTGTGAAAATTTTTTTTTAAAGTTTTTTAACTTTCTTTTTTATCCAAATAATGGAATTATCACGAAAGAATAAGTTCGTGATTTAGAGCTTAGTTTTGTCAATAAAGTATCGTGACTATCAACTAAGACGAAAGGAAAAGTCATCACAGATCGTCTCCGGGGACCCATAGAGCTGACGCAGAGGCCCTGCTTACCTAGGCACATACTGGGTAACACACTCGCCAGATTCAAATACGGATTTTTACTGAGCCGAATTTCTCTGGGTGGTTCTCCCAAGAGTGAAGTCTGATTCTTAGAGGCAGCCTATTTGCCAGAAACAGAGGATGGGGTGGTGAATGAGCGGTGGAAAAAGAATGAGGACCGTCACAGCACATCACACACACACACACACACACACACACACACACACACACACACACACGAGAGAAGTCGCAGAAGTCCTCAACAGCGTCTTACATGCCACACAACTAATACATGCTTATTTACATTATTTACTAAAATTAAAAGTACAAAAAGATTTGTTTTTCAATATATCTTGTACAGTGTGACCATTTGTGGGCTCTAGTTGCCTTTAATCCCAGAACTCGGGAGGCAGAGGCAGGTGGATCTCTGTGAGTTCGAGGCCAGCTTGGTCTACACAGCAAGCTTCAGGACAGCCAGGACTACACAGAGACCCTGTCTCAACAACCCCAATAAAAAATAAATAAATAAACAGAATTCTGCAAGTGGAGAACAAGCTGAGGCATCCTGTATCTTCTCACTTGATCTTAGAGAATTCATCTTTGCAAGAAACAATAAAACAACCAGTTCTGTATCTGATATCTAGAAATGCAGGTATTCACATTAATTATAAGATTTAAATTTTCATTATGTGGCTAAAACCAAATGACACAAGCAAAGCTTGCTCGTCTCTAGTCCTGAGAGTAATGCCAAGCTAGAAAGAATGAGAAGGCAAAGTTCATGAGCCAACTCTTCAGACGACAATGTCAGATAGGACCACTGCTTCCATATTCTTCTGAGAAGCAAGGACCTCATCCATTTAACAGAAAAAGAAGGGGTGGGGGCTGAGCCTTCACTATGCTCCACATTCTTCTGAGAGATGGCTTTACTCTTTACTCTCTGCTCAAGACTTTTAAAACCGCAGTTCTGGTTAGAAATGGAAGATAAAGCTAGTAGCTTAGTTTTCTTTGCATACTGATCTCTTATCTTTTTATAAGCACAATGAAGAAATGCAATCCTGAGTGTTCGTTTCTGTCTGGGAGAGCCACAGACTTCATGTTCCTGGCCAATGCTGTGTCTGGACAGCAAAACCTGTCTCAGACACCTTTGTAAGCCTCAGAGAAATCGGGGTTTGCATGTGGCATGCCTATCACATGGCCGTATGTTCGCTCACTCAGTGCAGGGCTGCTGAATGCTTGCTATGCTTCAGGGGATCGGTAACATTCAAATGAGCATGAAATTCAACCCTTAAATTCACAGCAGCTCCAGAAGTAACCTAGAGCTGCCGCTTAGATGTGGAAAACAGGCAGTGGGGACAATCACCACACACAAGCCATTGGCTGTGGCAGAACAATGCCACAGTTTGGGGACCAAGAGGAGAGGAAAGGCAGCCTGGGGGATATCCATTTCCCTGCGTGCTTCCTCACCCTGGAACCTACCTCCGGGCCTTTTGCTGGGCTCTGCTGTGTCTTCTCGTGGCCTGTCAGTGGGCCTCCAGTGGGCAGGCCTGGGAAGGTCTGCAGATACTGCTGCGGCCCTGAGAAACTAGCTTCAGTGATGCCGGCTGAGGCGGACTGCTTCTCCTGAGTGGTCCCACGACCCAGCCCGGCTTGTCCGGCAGTGAGCTGCTGTGGGAAGAATGGCAGCATGCCCAGGCCGGCTGCCAGTGTCGTTTGCGTTGGAATCAGAGTAGATGCTGGAGCGAAACACAGAGGCAAAGGAACCTAGTTACACGAGGCTCCGGAGCCCCTTCTGCACTGATCAGAGAGCTGTGGCGTCCAGCGGGTGACACTAATAATGCTGTTAAAATTCTCAATAATTTCTAAGATAACCTCAATATAATTTTTAATGATATATTTTAATTATTATTTTAAAACTTATGATTTTTTTCCTGACAGTTAAATTATATCAGTACTTTAAAATGCCCAATCATTGCAATTTGGTTGCTTCTATACTTGAAGAGAATAACTGAGTCTCAGGTTTTAAGAATTCAGTATTTCCTCAGTTGATGTGGACTCCACAGCAAGCCTGGTTAGCAAGCCTCTGGCAGCTGTTAGGAGCTGGCTGCAGCCATGTCTTCACAGCTTGAGTTTGCCGTCTTTATGATTGTAACTTGGCCTTGGCAGCGGTTGAAGATTTACACATGGAAATTCACAAATATTATAAATCAACACTATTTTTAAGTGGAAAGATCTGGTACTTAAACCCCAGAGTGCCACTGTTGTCCTTGAAGTCAAAGCTCAGGAATAGACAAACACTAAATCAACAAAAGTTATATATTTTTACTTATAGGAAGTAAAATCCTGAAAAGAATAAAAGTTTTCATAGGAAAATTAGGACTCACTTTTATTTTAAAAAAATCTGTAAGTCAGGGCTGGTGGGATGGCTCAGCAGAGAAAGGCGGTTGGCCCTGCGCAGGATTTAAGCCCCATGACCCCGGGATAGGCGAGAACCAATTCCCACAAGCTGCTCCGCCCAATCCACGTGTATGCCAGAGCACATGTGTGCCCTTCTCCCAACAAACAAACAAACAAAAAATAAATGAAATGAATTTCAAATTTAAAAATAAACAAAGATGCACGGATCAGCCAGGCATGGATGTGCATCTCCCAAAAATATTCAGGGGCCAAGGCAAGATCATGTGACCTCGCAAGTTCAAGACCAGCCTGGACAATAATATAATGAGACCCTGCCTCAAAATAAATAAATAAATAAATAAATAAATAAATAAATAAATAAATAAATAAATAAATAGATAGATAGCAGACAAGAGGCCAAAAAGAAATTAAAACAGTTCATTTTGATGACTAGATCAAACTTCCACTCTACAAATTCACTAACGAGGTTTGTTAGCTGGTGGAGGAGGACTCGCTTTGGCTCCTCCGTCTCTCAGAATATGTTTGCTTAGACGGTGAACTGTCAGCGTTCTTAAGACAGCACACCAGAGCGAGCTGTGTATCTGCTAGCATTAACATGAGGAATAAACATTCTCATAGCTCGTAATCATGGAAAGTCAAAGCTTTTAGGACGACAGACTCCCATCATAGCGAGAAATTCCTCGGCAATTTAACCTTGGTCAATTTCCGCAGTCAGAATCGACTGAGTTAACAGGCCAGCTTTATGTGGAGGAGACTTAAGTGGGTCACTTATGTGTACGAAACTTAAACGGCCACTGGTCCCTCTGCATGCTCACGTCGGACCCTTCCATCAAGCTTCCCACTGGAAGCATTTCTCTAAATTACAATAAAATAAGAAACCCTGGTGTATTTCTAGTTTTCTGAAACAAAAATGTCCTGCCTGTCACGTGCCCAGAGCATGTAGATCAGTTGTCTTTCAAGTCATCATTTTAAGACGTAATTTAAAAATGACTCAAGTCAACAGGGCTTAAATTTACAAACTCTAGCTATTCCATTTATAAGGGCTGAGGCTCCTTCAGTGCAACTGAAATGGAGACACGGGGACTATGTTGTGAGCGCAGTGGGCAGCATGTCAGCGCCGAAGGGAAGCCATGTCTTCGCCTGGCACGGCTGTGAACCTGCATAAAATATTAAAAGCCATCCAGCAGGGACCGCCTCATCTTGGCACGGAGGCAAGCCCATTAATAACATATCAGACGCGGCAATGGGGCTCTTGAAAATTTAAATCACCAAGATTTAAATTTAATCATCCTATAAATAAGAGAGGGATGGAGGTAAACTATCAAGTCTCAAAGCTGACTGCACAGGGACTTCCCAGCAAAAAAGGTCACTTACTTTTGTGTGTGTCTCCATGGTGTCCCAGGTCCGTCTTCAGGGAGAGTGGCGGCCCTATTGCCAGCGCAGGCTGCAGCACCATGGCGGGGGGCTCTCCGAGCAAGCCAGGCTTCTACAGCAAGGGTGAGGGGAGATGGTTTCCCATGGGGGAGAAACAGAGCCCAGGGAAGACGGATACATGTGTGAAATCGCACCCCCACCCCCATCAGTGGGCAGAGACACTCACATTATTAGTGTGGGCGCTATCAAACTTCATCAGCTGCTGCTGGACCAAAGGGAGGTGAGACAGAGCCTGGAGGAGCAAGGGGGACGCACTACCCACAGCCGAGCTCTGCGGAGTTAAAGCCACATGAAGTTAAGGAAGGATGGGAGAACTATTTGTTAGATAATCAACTCAGCTTCAAGTTCAGTGCTCAAGTTAGTCTGAAAAAAAGAAACCACACTTTAGGCAGGTGTGCTGAGCGCACACCTTTAATCCCAGCACTCAGAAGACGGTGGCAGGTCGGTCTCTGAGTTCGAGGCCAGCCTGGTCTGCAGACTGAGTTCCAGAATAGCCAGGGCTACATAGAGAAACCCTAAAAAACACTTAATTCGGCCGGGCGATGGTGGCGCAAGCCTTTAATCCCAGCACTCAGGAGGCAGAGGCAGGCGGATCTCTGTGAGTTTGAGACCAGCCTGGTCTACAGAGCTAGTGCCAGGACAGGCTCCAAAGCCACAAAGAAACCCTGTCTAGAAAAACAAAACAAAAAAAGAAAAAAGAAAGAAAGAAAGAAATGTGGGAGGTGGCATACCCTCCTCCTAGGTCATGCCATGTTGAGGATAGAAAAATCCCACTTTGATCTGTTGGCTCTAGTCATGACTCTGCAACCACAACATCTCCTGGACAATAAAGACTATTATATCTAAAACAATTTACCAGACTCTATAACAGGTAATAAATCAANAAAAAAAAAAAAAAAAAAAAAAAAAAAAAACAAACAACAACAAAAAACACTTAATTCAAATAATCTACTTTCGTCCTCAGGTAATATTACCTAACACGGAAGAGATGACCATGCAGTTTTGAAACGCGATTCCACATTCTTTCCTTTGTCATCCTCTCCACCCCTTACCCCCACCCCCGCTTTAATGATGATGAAATATGAATTTACAGATAAATCATTTGACAATATTTCCTGCATGCTTTTTAATGAATAGTGTGCCACCTAGTGAGAAATGTAATATGATGGCCCCTATATATCGTATTCCTAACAAGATTACAAATGGCAGTTCTATAAGGAAAATTACAAGCAGATACATGATCAACCACTAGGGAATCTTACTCAAGACTGGCAGATTCCAGGGAGGCATTCTTGAGGACCTAACATGTGTGCTGAAATCGGAAGGCTGTTTAGAGAAAGACTAGGCCAGTTAGGTGGTACTCAGGGAGGACACTCCTGGCCAAGGAGACAGACAAGACACTTGGAGGAGTGAGCAGGTCCTTTGGGGACAGTGAGTTCAGGAGATAAGCGACTTGAAGGCTTTAACAGCAAATACTGCGTTTCTGGTCTTTCTACAAACACAGTTCTTGGCCTTCCTAATGCTGCAACCCTTTAATACAGTTCCTCACATTGTGGTGACTCCAAGCATCAAATTATTTTCATTGCTACTTCCTGACTATAATTTTGGTAGTTATGAACTGTAATATAAATATCTGATATGCAGGATATCTGATATGGGACCAAATGAAAGGTTCATTTAACACTACCCAGAAGGGTTGGAACCCCCAAGTTGAGATCCGCTGTCCTACCACGAAGGGGATATTATCCATGCTCTGACTCTCCCTTTCACACGTGTTCATACCTGACTGTAAGTAACGTCTGCCTGCCCCGCTGTTCTGTTGTTGGGTTTTTATTGTTGTTTGGAGACAGAATCTGACTCTGTTGCCCCGGGCCGGCCCAGAATTTACTATGTAGCTGGTCTGACCTTAAATACAGTAGTCCTCCAGTCTTGCCCTCCCCCAGCATCAAGATTAGAGGTACCAGCCATCACGTCTGACTTTTCATGCTCCCTGAAACAATGGAGACTATGAGAATGTGCTATCCAAAGCTGGAGCCATAACAGGGGCAGCACCGAGCACATGTGGCTGGCTACTCAACGGAGCGCGTGGACAAGTAAAACGTACCTCAACGTACAGGAGTCTTGAAGGGAAAAGACAAGAAAGATGGTGTGGTGTTTTGAATAAGAAATGCTCCCTAATTGGTGGCATGGACTGGAACCTTTAGAAGGTGGCCCAATCCTGGAGTAAATCCCTAGAGACGGGATTTAAGAGTTTAAAGCCTTGTTCCACTTCCTGTCCTTTTCTTTCTCTCTACTTCCGGTATCTGGGTAAATGTGAGCGTCAGCTTCCTGTTCCTGCCACCACGCCTCCTCTGACAGATGACCTCACATATTCACAATGGATGGGTTCGATCCCTTTGGACCCAGAAGCCAAAACAAAACCTCCCAAGTGGCTCACAACGGAATAGCTACTGTGGGTGGGGGAGGGGCTTTTTCTCCCTTCTCTCCCTTCAGAAAGCTAGTTTTACAACCTGGAGTAGTGGTACACACCTTTAACCCCAGTGCCAGCGAGGCAGAAGCAGGGGGATTCTGAGATGGAAGCCTGCCTGGGCTTCTCAGCCAAGACCCTGTCTCCAAATAATGAAACAGCTGTCTTCAGCACCACACATTTCTCCCATCCTCTGGGTAAGAAGATAACTGGTTTGTGCATAGGTCTGTGCATCTGTAACTATATTCTGAAATTAATGAGTAATGTCTATTTCTAATATGGCAAACACTTATATCAGCTACTTATGTCTAAGTGCATATTTAAAACACTTAATCTGAAAACATAAAAAAATATTCTTTGCTCTCACAAACATATGAACTATTTTATAACACTGATTAAAATTTAAACATTAGGATTTACTGGTCATTTCTTTCTATAAACTTGTTTTGAGTTAAGACTGTATAAACTGCTTTGTTCTAAAACTATTATTGCTTTCGGGCTGGGAAATGATTCAGTGGGCCAAGAGCTTGTCGTGCAAACATGAAGACCAGAGTTCGAATCCTATAACAAACAAACAAACATCCCAGCACTCCTATGGGAAGATGGAAGGTGGAGAAGGGAGAATTCCCAGAACCCGAGCCTGCTAGCCTAGCAAATGCAGCAGCAAACAGCGACAGCCTGCCCCAAACAGGGTAGAAAGGCAAGACCGACGCCAAGGTTGTCCTCTGACTTCCACACCCAAGGCACACATTCCGTCCATCTCCCTATACCCCACCACACACAGACAAAAAACTGACTCATTACCTAGCAAAGATTACCACTAAATTCTGTTAATATTCTACAAGTGGGAATCAGTAAGTTAGGCTCTCTAGGCTGTTCCCATCAGCACTGGATCACAATCTCTCTCACACACACCACACACACTCCTCTTGTTCTCTGGGCTGTCCCCATCAGCACTGGATCTCTCTCTCTCTCTCTCTCTCTCTCTCTCTCTCTCACACACACACACACACACACACACACACACACACACACACACACACACATCTCTGGGCTGTCCCCATCAGCACTGGATCACACACACTCATTCTGTGATTTTACGGAGCTATCCTTATTAAAGGTTGTTCTCTACGCACGGGCCTATAATTACAGCTCCTCAGGAGGCTGATGCAGGAGGATGACAAGTTCATAGAATGCGTTAAAGGCCAGCCTCGGCAACTATGGTAAGATTCTGTGTCAAAACTAAAAGTCAAAATAAAGCTGGGGCTGCCAAGTCAGCAGCGAAGCTCTGGCCGGCATCAGTAAACTCCAGGACAATCCCTAGTAACACAAAGGGCAAAGGGCAGGCAGATATTTTTAAAATGCAAAATGCTTGACAAGGTCTGGCACGCTTATTGTAATCCCAGTCCTTGGGAGATGGAGGCAGGAGGATTTAGGGGGGCCAGGGGAGGGGGAGTCTTCACTCTGAATCTTCAGTGCTGTGTACAAACCTGTTGTGCTTTACTGAAGTGCAGTAGCGCGGAGGGGAGGGATGGGCTCAGCAGATGAGACAAGCTGGGTGCGACTCCAAGAACTGTTTTGAGAAGATCAGAGTCAGTCAAAGTAAAACCGTAACCACGTGACTTAAGAAATTAAAAATACAGCATGTTCCAAAACATTTCTTTCACAACCTTTAACCTGCACAGGGAGTTTCATCTACTGGCTAAGAGGGACAGACTTCTTCCCTTGTGATTCGATCCTGGAAGCCGCTTTAGAATCCCCACAATTTGTCTTTAAGCACCAAACGCAGGCTTGCCTGTCTCCAGCACCCAGCACAGCTTGTGCTGGCAGAATGGTACTAACAGAGGCCTTGGTAGTAGCTCAGCACCTTTACCCATGCTTGCACGTAAGTGCAGAGTGCCTGACGCCCAAGGAGGCGAGAAGAGAGGATTCCCTGGAACGCAGTTACCGCCATGTCCCCAGCAAGAACAACACAAGCTATTAATTGCTGAGCCATCTCTCCAGTCCCTCAATACCTTATCAGGTGTTTGGGAGAATTTTGTCAGAAGGTAGGGCATGGGGAAAGATGCAACCCTCATCCTTAAAGATCTTATGAAAAATCCTTTACTGAAGATAATATATATATATATGCGCAGAAATTCTTACATCATAGAAACTGAAAGGCTGCAACGTGACTACACATAACCAGACATGGTGATGTATGGCTTGAATTCCAGTACTCAAAGCCAGAGCCAGGCAGATCTCTGTGAGTCTAAGGCCAGTCCTGTCTACCCAGCAAGTTCCAGCCCAGCCAGAAATACACAGCGAGACCTCATCTCTAAAGAAATCAACTGTATATCTAGATATAAGGAATAGAGAGTAACTACACTCTTAGTTCTGAGTCCAAATACCACACACATGTCAGAAGGGGTAATTTTGGAATAGATAATAGAAAGAGAAAAAAGAACTATAAAATAGAAAACACATGATTAATTTCATCTAAGTATGCATATATATCATAATATATCATAAAGTAGCATTCAGAAAAGGTCCTGGCAATAGCTTTTCATAATGTGCATGCAACAGAAAAAATACTAAGTCATTCCCAGTTAGGTAGGGAGTCCGTATCCAAAAACAAGAGCGGTAACACACCAAGTGAACATCAACATGGCTCAAATCTACAACCAGCTATTTACCCAAGGTCATAAAAGTATAGGTGTAAATAAAAACAAATCCTCATTGCAATTTTACCTCTCTCTGGAAAGGACCTAGATGTTCATCGGGTCTGCCACGAGGCCTGCAGGTGCAGCTCAGCAGTGTGGTGCACACTTGGGTTTGCTCCCAGCACCTACCCACTGCCCAAGAAAACACCAAAGTGCAACTGGAATGCAGGATCAGCTCGGCCTGTGCTCACTGAAGTGGAGACTTACTCTTCTTCCCTGACCAGCCCGAACAAAGACAAAGAAAAACGTCTCCACCCATTTAAATAGTAAAACATCTTAAAATAGAGACAGTAACATTAATATTAAAACGCATACTCCTGGGGGTGGAGAGATGGCTCAGTGATGGGGGACATACTGCTTTTGCAGAGGACCAGAGTTTGATTCCCAGCACCCATGTCAGCTGCCCGCAACTCCAGCTCTAGAAATCTGAATTATGTACACGTACTCATCCTATAGAATTTTCAAATTAAAAAATCAAGTCAAATCTAAAAAGCAAGGCAAAACAAAACCACATTCTTATGTGACCACAAACCAAACAGAGAATGGGGGTGGAAATATATAGTGTTGGTGGAAGGGGCAGAATTATCAAAGATGCTCACAATCCAAAAGTGTGGACAATATTCTCCTACACGACCTGAGAGCACAGTATGAGTCTTTACACACTAGAGCCACCTTGGACTGCATCAGGAGAAGCTGTGGAGTGACAGGAATGCAGGACTCCTGCCCGGTGCCAATCAATAACCAACCAGCAGGAGGCTGTCATGTGTGAACACCATATTTTAGGACAATCCAGAAAATCTAGATGTAATAATATATATATTGTGTGTGTATGGGGGGGGGTCCGCATACAATGAAACTGCCACAAAGTTCCAATTCCTAAAAAGACCCTGTATGGCTGGGAACAGCTGCTCTCAGAAGCTGTGAGTTATTATTAATCAACACCTTCAATGCCAAGGGCGAGGTACCGCCTTGTGCTAGTTAGGGGGTTTTGTTTTTGTTTTCGTCAACTTGACACAGACTGGGGTCATCTGGGAGAGGGATTCTCAACTCAGAAAATGTGGGCAAGTGTTCCACAGAACACTTCCTTGATCAATGACTGGTGTGGGAGGGCCCAGCCTAGTGTGGGCGGTGCTACCTCTGGGCAGGTGGTCCTGGGTTGTGTGAAGAGGCAGTGAGGAGCAAACCAGTGAGTTCCACCTCTGCTCCTGCTCGAGTTCCTGCCCTGACTTCCCTCAACAATCAACTGTGAGAGGAACTGGCAAACCCTTTCCTCCTCTAGTTGCTTTTGCTCATGGTGTTGACCCTAACACGGAAAGCAAACCGTATACACTACATACCCTAGATGCATGATATAAAAAAAGAAAGCCAAGCTAGAGCTGCAGCTCCGTCCCTGCTGGTGGTTTTCACAGTTCTGGGAAAGCCATGCAGGCTGCTGGGGGAGAGAAGGAATCAATGGTCTTACCCAGAGATAACCTCTGTGAGCTACAAGACCAGCCTGGCAGGCCAGCCACGTCCTGTGCACCAGCGGCACTCCTGTTACACAGGTAACCAATGGTTCTGATGGGATCTGAGACTTGATCCACGTGCCTGATTCTATAAACCTGGTCCAAAGCCCATGGCCAGAGAGACGATGAGCCCTAAAATGGAAACTGAGCACTGTTTAGCAGCTGACCGTGGCAAGCTACCCTCTAAATATTCATGTTTGTACCTATGGAAAAACGCTGCTCTCAGCCTTCATTGGAGAAACTTGTCTTTCCAGTGAATGGTGGCGAATGCAATTCAGAGACTCATGGCCCTACAAGGTACAGAGAATAAGTAACTGACCAAAGATTGGCCCTAAACAAGACATTGATACCATTTCCTCTAAGGTTCAGGGGACACCGTGCGTAAAGGGGGAGCCAGAAGACGGCTGTGAAATATCTCTTGGGTAAAACACGGCCATTGCAATTACAATCTCACAGCAGCTGCAGATGCCTGCACTGGGTGGGCACAAGAACGGGCCACCAAGTCAGGCATAGACGGAAGATGGGCTCAGGAGGCCCTCCCTACCCATCACTGATGAACTGTCAATTCATCAGTCAATTCAGGTCAATTCAGGAAGGAGACTCGTCGGCTTATGCTGTTGGACCCACTGGTTACCCCACCAGGCTCCAACGGATCGTCAATCCAATGGCCCCACGGGGCCCGATTAAACTCAACGGCTCATAAAGCAAAACCAAAAGTCATGAGTTTGGGAAAAAGACTGGTACAGACAGGATGTGTGTGACAGGGATGGGGTGGGTGACAGCGATGGGAGGGAGATGAAGGGAAGCAAAGAGCTATCAGAATACTTTATACACACACATGAAGCTGTCAACATCAATACTTTTCTAAAAAAAAAAAATCCCCTACTAATCGCGTGCTGGAAAGTGTCACGGCCTGCACACTAACTGTCTTCATTTGCATATTTCTGCTCAGTCCTTTCTAGTAAAATTATAATCATATATATATATGGTTCTTTCCAGAAGCCTACAAAACATTCTAGAGGATTACCAAATGGAAGGATTCTGGCAACTCCCAAATTTGTATCGCTAGTTGGTCAGAAGTTCAGACAGCCGAGAGAACCTTTAGCTTGTAGCCAGGGACTTAGGGGACAGCCACACAGAGGCAGTGCCTTTAACCTGTGGGCCTGTGTTGCCTCGGGTGGGAGTTGGCATTAGGCCAGCTGGGACTGAACTGGAATAAACACACTGAGCATGCTTACGCTAAATATATTTACTCTAAACTTCCGCATTTCCTCATAATGCTAACACAGAAAGCTTGTGTATGTAAAGTTGTTTGTTTCAGAGGAAATACCAGAAAAAGAATACCAAATACTCTGATAATCAAAGTACAGCGACCATACACAGATCTGGGTAACAAGAATGATGCTTTTGTCATCTGGTTCAGAGGGAAACTACTTCGTCCTTTACGACAGAGAAAGACGGACACAGAAACAAATTAGCACATTCCACAAGGTAAGTCACCGCAATGATTGCAAAGGGATGCTCCGCACTCGGCTCACCCAGGCGGCAGAGTAGTGGCGTGCCACTGTTACTGGGTTTAGAACTTCACCACAACAGAGAGCTCAACTGAAGGTTTAATAGTTAAAACCTTACTAACGGCACAGAAAATGGACACTAAAGTAAATTGTACCTACGATATAACCAAGACATAGCACCATCTTGGATAACCATCTTAGCCAAGTTTTGATCGATAATTCTTAGGAAAGAGTTGGACAAGTGTTAGGTGCGTTTCAACCCGTAAGGCATTTCTTACATTCCGCATACAGTGCAGCAGAAGCGACTTCATGCCAACGTCTGCACTCAAGCAGGCTGTGCGCGCTCACCTGGTTTAACTGCTCGTCCGCACAGCTGAGGCTGCAGAAGAACCTGGAGCATGGCAGGATTGTTCAAACTTTTCATAATCTGTACCGGATTCGGCTCTGGCAGCAATCCCTTTTGGCTGCTGTTCATCTTCAGCGTGGGCAGAAACAAACATCAGAAGAAGCATAAGCACAAAAGAAAAAGACAAAAGCCCCAAAGTGGTCCTCCTGCCTAGGAAGGAACCAAAGACTTATTTTCTGACAAACACAATTGGCTTTAATTCATGAACTTACCATACACTTTCTACCACAGCTCTCAACTACAATGTTACATGTCCTACCGTAGACATAATGCATTAACATCTAAAATCTGTCCAACGCCAACTGCCTTCGGATGAACTAACAGTTTAATAGAACAAGTCTCAGAAAACACAAACAAAATGATGACAAGGAGATAGGATTCCTAGAAAGGTGATAACTTGCCAACACATTGTCAGCTCCCCACGCTACAGGAAGTCATATTACACTATTGATCCAAGTGGGGAGAATGCAGGCTGACTTTCAAACACAATTTTCTTATTCTTAAAGTCTATTTCCTTCCCTCAATCCTTCAGAGTGAAACAAAGATGAACCAACCTGCAGAGCTACCAAAAAACCATGAACCATTTTTTTTAAGTTTTAAAAAGCATCCTGACAGGTAGGTGGATGCTCAGTAGATAAAGAACTTGCCACTTCAGTGTGAGGACTGGCGCTCGGAACCCCCAGAACCTGCAGGAGAAAAGCTGGATGGGGGCCAAAGAAATGGCTTAGCAAGTAATGAGGCTTGCAGCCAAGTCCGACAGCCTGAGTTTGTTCCCTAAGACCCACATGGTAGCCGGAACTAGCTCATTAAAATTGTCCTCTAACCTCTATAATATGCACAGTGGCAGGCACAAACCCCCAGATGAACACAGACTCTCTGCGTCTCGATGGATGGATGGATGGATGGATGGATGGATGGATGGATGGACGGACGGACGGACGGACGGGCGGGCGGACGGACGGACGAACTAATAAAAGCCAGGTGGACATGCAGTCTGCCTATAATCTAAGCACAGGGAAGGTAGAGATAGGTGGTTCCCAGAGCAGTCTGGCTAGCCAGACTAGCTGAATGGCTGAGTTCTGAGTTCAAGTATGAGACCACGCTTCAATACATAAGGTGGAGAGTGATCAAGGAAGACAGGTACCTGATAGTAATCTCAGGCTTTCACACGCATGAGCATGTGCACCCTCACACACATAGGAACACATGTACATACATACATGAGTACCATGTTCATATATGCAAAAAGCCCAATATATGTGGATTTCCGTATAGAAACAATGTGTATCTATATCTATATCTGTATATATATTCAGATAGGTCGGTAAGTAGGTAGGTAGATAGATAGAACCATAAGAAAGGGGAGAACTGACAAGGACAATTGGGCTCCTCTCCTAACCCAGATTCTGTAAAGTTGAGAGGGAAAGAAATATGGACTTAAACAGATACAGCGCTGGCAAGAAACTCTGTCGGGATAGAGGTGTGCAGGTAGACATGCTCAGAGAGCAAGAAAGTCTAGGTCTACAAGAGAATTTGGGGAAGGCTTTGGCAGGCGGCACTGCGTAGTTTCCTCCACCATTCCTTCAGGGGAGCTGGGCTCTCCTGGCAGCAAAAGCTATGCAGAAAAGAGCACCATGGGCCATGGATGCCCGCAGAATCAAAGACTGGCAGCAGGTGGTACGTAAGCACACGGTGGAGGGCAGGGACCAGACAGTGTTGGTATGGGCAGGACACTGGTCACTGGCCAGCTCCTCACACCCACAGCACCGTGAGGCAGCACCACCGAGGAGAGCAAAGCCCAGAAAACACAGGCCTGGATGCCAGATGCAGAGAGAGGCACTGCGAGGCAGAGTCCAGTGTGGTAAGGAAAGCCCTGAGGATGGCAGGCTGGAGCTCTCCCGGCCCATCTTCTGTAAATCCTAGCGAAGACCAGGCTTTCCCTCTATCTCTCCATCATTGCTTTCCCTGTCAAGTTCTTATGGTAGCTCTGTGTGTGTTTATGTGTGGTATGTGTGTGTATGCATGTATGTGTGAATTGTGGTGTGTGTATGTGTGGTATGTGTGATGTGTGATATGTGTGATGTGTGGTATGTATGTGTGATATGTGTGATGTGTGGTATGTGTGTATGTGTGGTATGTGTGTATCCATGTATGTGTGTATGTGTGATGTGTGTGTATGCATGTATGTGTGTATTGTGGTGTGTGTATGTGTGGTATGTGTGATGTGTGATATGTGTGATGTGTGGTATGTATGTGTGATATGTGTGATGTGTGGTATGTGTGTATGTGTGTGATGTGGGAGTGGTTTCTTACTAATAAAGAAACTGCCTCGGCCCTCATAGGACAGAAAATTAGGTAGGCGGAGTAGACAGAAGAGAATGCTGGGGAAAAAGAAGCTTTAGTCAGTGAGTCGCCATGATGCTCCCACTCCAGACAGACGCAGGTTAAGATCCTCTCTGGTAAGCCAGCTCATGGGCTACACAGAATATTAGAAATGGGTTAGAACAATATGTAAGAGATAGCCAATAAGAAGCCGGAACCAGCCCAGGCAGTGTTTGAAAGAATACAGTTTCCGTGTAATTATTTCGGGCATAAGCCAGCCATGCGGGCGGCTGGGTGCCGGGGACGCAGACCTGCTGCTCCTAATTTCAACATGTGTGGTATGTGTGTATGCATGTATGTATGTGTGATGTGTGTGTATGCATGTATGTGTGTATTGTGGTGTGTATGCACGTATGTGTGTATTGTGGTATGTGTGTATGCACGTATGTGTGTATTGTGGTGTGTGTGTGATGTGTGGTGTGTGTGATGTGTGGTATATGTGTATGTGTGGTGTGTGTGTATGCATGTATGTGTATATTGTGGTGTGTGTATATGTGTGATGTGTGGTGTATGTGTGTGTGTGCGTCTGTGAATGGGGGACTGACTCCAGGGCTTTTGAGCACCACATCACTCTTCCACTGAGCTGTACAACAACCCTTTCACTAACCTACAGGCACTGGCACACGAGAAGCTGACATCCCCCACCCCGAAAATATATAGTCAAAGAAAACAATAATTTGACATCAGAGACTAGAGCCGCTCAAACAGGGGCAACAGGCTGGACTGCCTGTGACAGTGACAGAGAAAGCAGAACGCCAACAACACGACAGACGTCCCCCCAAAAGGTGAGTAGCCTTAAAAGAGCAAAGACAGTTATTAAGGGCAGGGGGAGGGGCTGGCATAAAGAACAAACATACGAAGAGAGAATCAGCCCTTGCTTCCTCTAAACAGTCCTGCTGTAAGTGCATCACGTGGATTAGATCCTCAACTCTCAAAAGCAAGTCCACAGACTGGCAGGGATACACCTAGTCTACAGAGAAAAGCTGTTCCTCTTCATCTCTATTCTGTTTTAACAGGCAGGTTCAACAGTAAGACAAATATTACTCAAAACAAATCAGTGATCTAAAGGATCAGGTTAAAGAAACAGAAAAGGCAAGCAAAATTATTAAGAGCAAGGTGAGGGTAACGGGGGGCAGCAAGATGACAGGGACACAGGCCAAGGACAAGAACCTGCTCAACAGAAGTCCCCACAGGAGACTAAAAGTTGAGAGGCGTCTTTGGAAAGGCAATAGCCGGGAAATGTACATTATTAAAGAGCTCAGAAACAACAACCAACCACCTGGTGTCCTGAACACGCAGCTAAAACACACACCCACTCGTAGCTGTCAAACATTATAAACACCAAAGGCAAAAAAAAAAAAAAAAAAAATTTGGAAAGAAAAGAAAATACCCGCTATTGCAGCCAGTGTCTTCCTAGAAACACCAGACTAGGGGACAAGGAGTGAATATTTCCAACTTCAGAGGTGAGGGAAAACCTCTGAAGACAGATTTATATATTCAGGCAGGCTAGTGCTTCACATGAGAAAGGAGAAAACTGTTCCTGACTGCCCACATTCTGAAAAGCTCTCTACCCCATGAACGCCTTCATTCAAAACTCCCTCGGAGGAAACACTTCAGTGAGGACACAGGCAAATAAATGCAAGACAGTGCTGTGTGACATGGAAGATAAAGAATACTATCCTAACTTTATAACAGCCAGGCCCATGACACAGATAATATCCAGGGTAATTCTAAAGGAAAGAATTGGATATAATTATCATGGTAAGTAGGGTAGGGAGGAACAAACAGAACGGCAGTGAATGAGTTAACTGAGAAGCCGGGTACTAAGAAAGGAAAGGGTGTTGATAACTTAGGGTCACCCCCCCCCAGCAGGAAATGCAACCTGGGAGGATGGGTCACCCAGGGAAAGCACTTGCCACAAAACCTTGAAGACCTGAGTTCAAACCCAGACGCCGCATAGAAAGCTAAATGCAGACACATGCGTCTGTAAGGCAAGCCCAGAACAGACGGGAGGCACAGACAGGAGAATCGGCCAAATGCACAGGCCACCTAGCCGGGGGCACACCGCACGGTGGCAGAAATAAAGCTAGGAGGAAGGAGAAAGTTGGCCTTTGACCTCCACTGCACACTGTGGTGCAAATGTGTGCTTGCCACCTCAGCACCTGAGCTCACTCTTAAAATACAAGGGGCTGAGAGGTGACTATCGGGAGAGCGGAGGACCTGGGCTGGAGCCCTGGCACCCACATGGCAGCTCACAAGGTCTGAACTCTCATTTCCAGAGGACCCGATGCCCCCTCTTCTGGCCTCCACAAGCACCGCACACATGTGGGTCACAGACAACAGGCAAAACACCTACACACACACAACTTCTAAACATGAAAAACATTGCCGGACAGTAGTGACGCACGCCTTTAATTCCAGCAATCGGGAGGCAGAGGCAGGAGGATCTCTGAGTTTGTGGCCAGCCTGGACTACATAATGAGTTTCCATACAGCCAGAGCTAGCTACATAGTGAGGCCTTGTCTCGCAAAAAAGCAAACAAAAACAAAACAGGAAAGAAATGAACTGAAAGATAAGATGCATAGCTGGCAAGTCCACATCTACCCAACAGTTAGAAATATGGAAAAAGATGAAAACATTTCATTAAAAGAAAGTGTAAGGGAACAGACTGCCAAAACGCCAACCGG